GGCGACGGAACGAGACTGGCATCGGGACACGGACCGATATGGGGGCCGGGCCCGGCTCCGAAGTGGGGACCACAGCCGTGACACGAACAACCGTGACACGAACAACCGTGACACGAACAACCGGGACCCCAACCGCGACCTTGACCGGAGTGGGGAGCGAAGTCGTGACCTGGAATGGCGCCGTGACACCGCACGGGAACCCTCCTCCACGGCCGAGGGGGTTGAGGACGAGGACGAAGACGAGGCCGCCGCCCGACGATTTCGCATCCGCCGGTTCGAGAAGTCGACGCCGAGCGCGCCGAACGAGTTCACGTACCTCGTCGCGCGGCCGCGGGGGTTGCGGGATCGCTTTGACCCGTATGACCTGCAGCCGGTCTCCCATGGCGAGCTGCGGGGGAGGCCGTACTACACCGTCTCCGCCGCAGGGGTGATGCGGTTCACCGGGGATACGCCCGAGTTCATGCAGCTCACGACGTGGGAGCGGGATTGCTCGATCTTCCACCGCGTCAGCGAGCTCTCGGTTTTTAAGGATTACAAAAAATGGCGTAGCTTTCTCGTCTGGCGTGGGGTTGTGCGAAGGCACGCGATGAATAGCAGCCAGAATTTTCTCCAGAAGAACCTCTTCCACGTCCATCCAAAGCTTTCGGCGACGTTGCAGCTCGTGCGAAAGTGTTGCCTGGAGTTTAGCGCGAACAATGACCTCTACGTCTCCCCCGGAGAGACTCTCACACTAGAGGATTACTGCCAGACCCTAGTGAATCACCTCAACACGCAGCGGGAGAGCCTAGAGAAGATGGTTTTGACACTGCGCGATCATGTCGATCAGGCCTGTAAGGCTGCAATGCTCGCCGCGCAGATGGAGCGTGAACAGATGAATTCCCGCTACAGCGACGAGGATAAGCGGAAGCGAAAGCTGTTGGATATCCGCGAGTTGGGAATGCAGCAGCAGCCCTCCTACGTCGAGCTCACCCAGCGCAAAGCCACCTGCAAGCGCCTCACCGCCTTTATCAAGCTCTGCGACTACCTCATCATCTCCTGCCTTACCAAACTCGCCATCAAGGCGGTGGTGAGCATCGCCGCGGATATTGTCTATCCAAGATCGGCATCGGCGGAGCCCCCGAGCAGCATCCCCACTCGCCACGCCTCGTTGACGTCTGCCGCGGCGCTGCACGCTGGCCACCACGCAAGAGATCGAAAATCCGATTCTGCGCTAAACTCCACTTTCAGCGGCCCTCTTTTCAGCGTGGAAGTGTTATACAATGAAAAGGACCAATGTATTAATATTAGCCCCTCGCAAGTGCGTTTGACCGAGGCGGTGGATGATATCATTTCGGAGTACGTGCACACTGCCCGAGGCATTCCGAGGCTTGAGTTTATGGATGTTTTTAAGGTGTACACCTCGAGTGTTGATGATCGGACGTCTTTGGAGGGCCCTGGAGCCGGTCCTGACGTGGCGGAGATGATCCTGGCCGAGGAAGAATACAAGAAAAGTCTTTTATCGATTAACAACAGCTTTGCGTATTGCTTCAATAAGGTTAATCAATATGTGCATGGGTTTAATGTTTACAGAGATATGTATGTTAGCAATGCAAAATTAGATATGAACGTGATTCTCGAGCAACAGGGAACGATCAAGTTCTTCAGGGAGCACCTCATGCTCTTCAAGAACCAAATGGATATGATCTCTAGTAAAATACCTAATAGCAAGGACGTTACGCTGTTTCGTGTGCATTCTGACGGCCTCCGAGAGTTCTTCGCGCCAAGTCCGGCGGCCTGCCTGGAAGCTTTCCACCAAACCATGCCTATCATCGTGCATCGCTACAACGAAGCCCTGCTTTCGGAGCTGCAGAAGCGGAACTCCTACCTTAGTGCCTTTCCCAAAACTGTCGAGCACTATGTGGAGTATCTCGACTATTATCACAACCTGGAGTCCGAGCTGGATCAAATCGGGAGTTCGTTTGAATTCATTCGCGAGCTTCTCAATCTGTTGCAGGAGGAGTCCATCAGCATCTCGGAGAACGACGAGGAAATCTTCAGAAGCGGTACCCGCCCGCAGTTTGATAAGCTGCGCACCCTCGTGCAAGTGGTCGAGGATGGGAAGGAATCGCAGCAGCGTCTTTTCGCGCGAAACATCGACGAGCAGATGGATCAGCTTCGCCGACGGATTGAGGAGGTCTACAATAAAGCAGGCCAACCGATCGTCGACTCCGACGAGGGCGAGGTGGAGACGGTGATCACCTACATCACGGATCTTCAGCAGGAGGCGGAGCGCATCGCCGCGCGGGAGAAGGAGCTTCGGCGGTTTCAATCCGCGATCGGGGTGGAGGAGACGACTGTGGATACGATGCAGGATATGCTGAACGATGTGAATATCAAAGCGAGGCTGTGGGTTGGAATTTCCGACTGGCAAAAGTTCACCGACGAGGTCGTTGTGCAGCCTTTCGCCGAGGTTGACCTCGAGGGCATCCAAGATAAAGTGCAGAAGTATACGATGCTGGTGAAGCAAGTGATCACCAAGCTCACGGGCAACGCTGCCGTACCGAAGCTGAAAAAGAAGGTGGAGGAGTGGCGGCAGCTCATCCCGATCCTGCAGGTCTTCACGAACCCGAAGATGAAGGCGGAGCACCACTTAAAGGTGTCAAACATTGTGGGGATGGTGGAGGATAGCGCCAGCGGCACTTGCAAGACGCTTGCGGAGTGGAATAAGCAATTCACGATCAAGATGCTGCTCGAGAATAACGTGCTCGCGTTCAAAAACGACATCCTCGCGATCAGCGCCACCGCCATCGAGGAGGATAAGCTGCAGCAGCAGATCGACAAGGTGAACGCGATGTGGAATGGCGGCGGCCCTAAACCGCCGATGGAGTTTGAATTCCACCACCACAAGGATATGAAGGACGTCTTCACGCTCGTCAGCACGTCGGTCGAGGATGTTGCCGCGCTGCTGGACGATTCGTTGATTGCGATCTCCACGATTGGCTCCAGCAGATGCTGCCAGGGCATCCTCCGTACGCAAGTGGATCGATGGGAGGCGAGATTGAAGTACATGCAGGCGACGCTCGACAAGTGGGTGGAGTTCCAGCGCAACTGGGTTTACCTGGAGAATATCTTCTCCTCCTCTGAGATTCGAAGCCAGTGGAAGGACGACGCGAAGCGGTTCGAGAAGGCGGATCACTTCTTCAAGTATTTGATGCGAAAGGCGCATGATTTACCAACCGCGTACCGTGTCCTTCTTATCAACCCACCGTCGTTCGATCCTGGGGACCCGACGCCATCAGGCAGGGTGCTGCAACAAGAGCTTGAGGCGTATATCGTCGAGCTCGAGCGCGTGCTGTCGAGCTTGGAGAAGAAACTAGAAGAGAAACGCCGCGCCTTCCCACGCCTCTACTTTCTCAGCAACGATGATCTCCTCGATGTGCTCGCCAAGGTTCGAACTCCGGAGCTGGTGATGCTGCACATGCTGAAGATATTCGACGGCATCAAAACCCTCGTTTTCGGAGAGAGCAGCACGATCACGCATCTTGTTTCTATGGAAGATGAGAAAGTGGAGCTGATTAATCAAGGCATCAAGGCGCGCGGTCCGGTGGAGACGTGGATGGATATTCTCGAACATGAGATGTTTACCTCGCTTCGGAGGCATGCGCAGACCTGTCTGGAAGACTACGAAGCGCGCGATAATCGCCACGAATGGATGTTTCAGCATCCCGTGCAACTCGTACTGATTATGGAGCAACTGTTTTGGACTCGTAGCGTCGAAGAGGCACTCGACAAGCAGGATACCCCGCAACGGATGGAAAATCTGAAAAAGGCAAATTATCGCGCGCTTGAAGATCTCGCAAGCCTCACCTCCTTCCAGCTTTCCAAGCTGCACCGTATCTTGCTTTCCACGATGATCACCATCGATGTTCACGGCCGCGACCTTGTCGATGACATGTGCACGAATCAGGTGATGGATTCCAGGGAGTTTGGGTGGACGAAGCAGCTACGAGTGTACTGGGAGCCGGATGAGGACGGCCGTGGAAACATCTTTATCCGCCAAAACAACTCGCGTTTTGTGTATGGCTACGAGTACCTTGGCGCGCAGGGCCGGCTGGTGATTACGCCGCTGACGGATCGCATTTACATGACGGTAACAGGGGCCCTGAAGCTTTATCTCGGGACCTCCCCACAAGGCCCTGCGGGGACGGGAAAGACGGAGACCGTCAAGGATCTCGCGAAAAATCTCGCCCGTCAGTGCATTGTGTACAACTGCTCCGATGGGGTGACCTACAAGATGATGGAGAAGCTCTTCTCCGGGCTGATTCAGACCGGCGCGTGGGCCTGCCTGGATGAGTTTAACCGCATTAACATCGAGGTGCTCTCCGTGATAGCCTCCCAGCTGCTGGAGATCAAGCTCGCGTTGCAGAACGGGCAGGAAAAGTTCACCTTTCAGGGCACCCCGGACGTCCGCGTGCGTGGGACCTATGGCGCGTTCGCCACCATGAACCCGGGCTACGCCGGACGAACGGAGCTGCCGGATAACCTGAAGATTCTCTTCCGCCCGGTCGCCGTGATGACGCCGGACTTCCGCATGATCGCGGAGGTGATTCTCTACTCCGAAGGCTTCAAGGACGCGAAGGAGCTCTCGCGGAAGATCACCCAGCTCTACAAGCTCAGCTCCGAAAAGCTTTCCTTGCAAGACCACTACGACTTTGGCATGCGGGCGATTAAATCGATTTTGGTCATGGCGGGCGACCTCAAACGCTCGCAGCCGGACGTCCCCGAGCACTGGACGCTCATCGTCGCCTGCAACGACGCCAACGTGCCCAAGTTCGTCGCGGAGGACCTCCCGTTGTTCAAAGGGATCATGCAGGATCTCTTCCCGGGCGTGTCTTTCCCGGAGCGGGAGTATCACGAGCTCCTCCCCGCGATGCGCGCGGCGATGGCGGCGAAGAAACTCCTCGACGCCGGCGCCTGGTTAACCAAGGCGATTCAGTTTTACGAAACCCTCATCGTCCGGCATGGCGTGATGCTCGTCGGGGGAACGGGAACGGGAAAGACGGAGATTTGTCGATGCCTCGCGGAGGCGTTGACGAGTATGGGGGCGGCCGGAAGCACCAATCCGATGGCGCGCCCCGTTCATCAGTTCGTGATCAACCCCAAGGCGATTCACCTCCACGAGTTATACGGCCAATTAGACGTGAACACGAACGAGTGGATCGATGGGGTGCTCGCCACTATCATGAAGGAGTGCGTGCGCGATTCCGAAACGAATAAGGATCATCGTTGGATTATCATGGACGGCCCGGTGGATACGCTGTGGATTGAATCCCTTAACTCCGTGCTGGACGACTCGAAGCTGCTTTGTTTGGATAACGGCGAGCGGGTGAAGTTGCCGGATACGATTCACATGCTGTTTGAGGTGGAAAACCTCGCGGTGGCCTCCCCTGCGACCGTCTCGCGCTGTGGGATGGTGTACATCAACGCGGGCGATTTGCCGTGGAGTGCGGTGGTGCATCAGTGGAGCGAAACGAAGCTGGAGGCGGCCGGGGTGGGCCCTTTATGCCGCCGTTATATCCTCTCCCTCTTCGACACCTTCGTCGATCGAGGGCTGAGGTGGTTGCAACACCAAACCCCATTGATTAGCGCAGGCGAGATTAACATCGTGCAGTCGATGTGCGATCTGTTCAGCGCGATGATGCAGACCCACCAAATCACCCTCATGCCGGATCCGGAGAACTGGTCGACGCTCGAGCCCGATGATGAGATCTTCCGCATTCGCAACGAAACCTGCCATTTGCTCTTTGTCTTTTCCTACATCTGGTCAGTGGCGGGGAATGTGGATCAGGACGCGATGGATAACTTCGATCACGCGGCGCGAGGGTGGTTCGAGAAGCTCGTGCGGTTCCCCAACCACGGGTCGATTTTCGACCTCACCGTGGATTTCTCGACCCGGATGTTCATCCCATGGGCGAATACGATGCCGGAGTACGTCTACGATCCCGCCACGCCGTTTTTTAACATCCTCGTGCCGACGGTGGATACGGTGCGGTATGGCGCCCTCGCGCGGATGCTCCTTCGCGCGGGCAAACCTTTCCTCCTGAACGGCCCCACCGGGGTTGGCAAGACCGTCATCCTCGCCGACTGCCTTTCCACCCATAAGGAGGCGCTGCATCTTTCCGTGATCGCCGTCCAGTTCAGCGCGCAGACCTCCGCCGCGCGGACGCAGGAGGCGATTGAAGGGAAGATGAAACAAAAGCGGAAGAACATCCTCGTTCCGCCGCCCGGGCAGCAGGTCGCGCTGTTTATCGACGACCTCAACCTCCCCGCGCGGGAGGTCTTCGGGGCCTCCCCGCCCATCGAGCTGCTTCGTCAGCTGATGGGGCACGGGGGGTTCTACGACCGCCTCATCGCGGGGTTTTGGAAACACGTCCGGGAGGTCACCGTTGTCGCCGCTTGTGGACCCCCGGAGGGCGGGCGAAACCCTCTCACCCCCCGTCTTACCCGTCTGTTTCACCTGTTGCAAATCCCAAACCTCGCGGAGAAGTCGATGCATCGGATCTTCACGGCGATTCTTGGGGGGTTTTTCGAGGCCAAGGGGTTTCATAAGGACATCAAGCACCTGACCGGCGGCCTCGTGCAGACCAGTGTGGAGGTCTTTAACGGCCTTCGCCGAGGCCTGCGCCCACGTCCGGCGACGCCGCATTACACGTTTAACCTCCGCGATCTCGCAAAGGTCTTTCAAGGCATCACCCAGGTCACCCCTCGCGCGTGCAAGGACGCGAAAACGGTCGTCCGGTTGTGGATGCACGAGTGTATGCGGTGCTTTTACGATCGCCTCGCCACCCCGGAGGATCGGCGGTTTTTCTTGGAGGATTTGATGAGCGACGCGGTGAATCACCTCATCCCCGCGTCGAACTTGCAGGAGGAGTTGTTTTCCGATACCCCTATGATTTGGGCGGATTTTATGCGTTTCGGGTCCTCCGAGAGGGTCTATGAGGAGGTTACCGATTTCAAGCGCGTCCCGCATGTCTTAGGGGAGTATCAAGAGGAGTACAATGCGATTATCAATCTCATCGACGCCAAAGGTCGGGATGGGGGTAACAACGAGGTCCAGGCCGCCCATCTCAATCTCGTCTTTTTCAAAGATCACTGCGAGCACCTCTCGCGGTTGATTCGGATCCTTCGACAGCCGCGCGGGAACGCGCTTTTGGTCGGGGTGGGGGGTTCTGGGAAGCGTTCGTTGGCGCGTTTAGCCGCCTACGTGGCGGATTGCCGCATCTTTGAGATCGCGGTCGGCAAGGGCTTTTCCGTCGCCGATTTCCACGAGTTTTTGGTCGAGGTCTACACCTACGCCGGCGTCGAATGCCGGCCCTGCGTGATGCTGCTATCCGACAACCAGATGGTTCATGATGTGATGCTGGAGGATATCAGCAATGTCCTCAACTCGGGCGAGGTCCCCTCCCTCTTCAGCAGCGAAGAGCGGGAGAAGAAGATCAACTCCTGCCTCGAAGAGGCCCGGAAGGTGGGGATTTCGAACCGCGAGGATGTCTACAACTTTTTCATCTCCCGCGTGCGCGATAACCTTCACGTGGCGCTCTGTATGAGCCCCGTGGGGGATACGTTTCGCGCGCACTGCCGTCAATTCCCCTCGTTGACGAATTGCTGCTCCATCGATTGGCTGGATGAGTGGCCGACGGAGGCGCTGAATGGGGTGTCGGAGAACATGCTCAAAGATCTTGACGGGTTGATGCCGACTGATTTCCTCTCCAAACTACCGGCGTTGTGCGTGGACGTGCATGACTGTGTGGTGAAGCTGGCGGGGATGTATTGGGAGGAGGTCCGACGACGCTACTACGTGACCCCGACGTCGTACCTGGAATTTATTGAGATGTACAAAGCGATGTTCGTGGAGCAACAGAAGACGATCGAGGAGCAGCTCGAGCGCATCAAGAACGGCAAATTGAAGATGAAGGAAACGGACGAGACGATTGGGAAGATGCGGCATGAGATTGAGGTGAAACGGCCGTTGCTGGAGCAGGCCTCGAAGGAAACCCAGGCCGTCGTCGCCGATCTCAAAGTGCGGCAGACGAAGGTGGGGGAGATGCAGGTGCAGGTCCGCGCCCAGCAAGCGAGCGCGACCGAACAACAAAGCGAGGCCTCTCGGATCGCCTCCGAGGCGAACAGCCGTCTGGCCGAGGCGAAACCGATCATCACCCGCGCGAAGGCCGCCCTGGATACGATTCAGGCGAGCGATCTGAACGAACTCCGCTCCTTTGCGAATCCCCCGTCGGCGGTGCTGAAGACCGCCCAGGCGTGTATGAATATGTTTGATCCGAAGGACTTCAACAACTCGTGGTCGGGGGGGATGGATTGGAAAGGGGCTCGCGAGTTTTTGTCGTACCGCCCTCTGCTCGACATGATTCGGAACTACCCAACGGACAATGTCAAGCCCTCTATTCTTCAGAAGATCCAAAAGTGCATCAACGACGAGGAGTTCACGGTCGAGATTTGCTCGCAACGGGGCTCGCAAACCTGCGGGAGCCTCTGTGCGTGGGTGCACGCCGTGAATGAGTACTCGAAGATCGTCAAGGAGGTCGCCCCGATGCGGCAGGCCGCCGCCGAGGCCGAGCAACACCTCGCGGAAACCACCACCAAACTCCACGCCACCCAGCAGCTCCTCCGCGACGTCGAGAAGGAGCTCGCCGAGCTCGAGGAAAATTATCAACGAAGCTTAAAGAAGAAGAACGACCTCGAGGCCGGGTTGCGGGTCTGCATCCGTCGTCTGGAGAACGCGGAGACGCTTTCGAGCTCCCTCAAAAGCGAGGGCGCGCGGTGGTCAGAGAACATCACCCATCTCACCGCCAAGTTAGGCAAATTGCCCTTGCAATCCTTCATCGCGAGCGCCTGTGCGGCGTACTTCGGGCCGTTTACCCCTGCCTTCCGCAAACGACTCCTTCAGGCGTGGTTTGAGCGGCTGCAGCAGTGCGACCTCGGCGCCGACGCCGGGGGGTCGTTGATTCAAATCCTCGGCGACCCCGTCGACATCCTCAGCTGGCGGGTGAATGGGCTGCCGATGGATGATACGTCGATTGAGAACGCGATTATCGCGATGCTTTCGCACGCGCCACGGCGGTGGCCGCTCTTTATCGACCCCCAGGAGCAAGGAATTAAGTGGTTGATGCATCAGTTTAGCTACCAACAATCCGTGATCGGAAATCGCCCGGGCGGGTTCGCGCGCGACGCCAAACACGGCCAGATGTCGATGCTGAAGGTGATTCGGATGACGGAGCCGACGTGGATGCGAACCTTGGAGATGCAAATCCGCCTCGGTGGGGTGGTGATCATCGATAACGTCGGGGAAACGCTGGACCTCGCGCTCGAGCAGCTCATCGCGCGACGGATTATCACAAGGGAAGGGGGGATGCCGCAGATTCAGCTCACCACCCAGTCCGGCCCGATCGACTTTCATCCAAACTTTCGATTGTTTATGTGTACGAAGTTGGCGAATCCACACTTCCTGCCGGATATCAGCACCCGGGTCGCGTTGATTAACTTCACCATCACCCGGGAGGGGTTGGAGGAGCAACTGCTCGGTGAGGTGGTTTCAATTGAAAAGCGTGAGCTGGAGCGGGAGAAGAATCGCATGATCGAGAGTATTTCGCAAGGTGAGCGCAAGCTCAAGGCGATCGAGAAAACCATCCTCGAGCGGCTCAACTCGACCAAGGGTAACATTCTCGATGATTCCGAGCTCATCGCCGAGCTCAAAGCCGCGCAGTCGAACGCCGAAGTCGTCGGTGTTCAGCAGATCGAGGCGAACCAGAAAATGGAAATCATATCGGTTTCCCGTGAGAAGTACCGCAGCGTGGCGGTGCGCGCGTCGGTCCTTTTCTTTGTGATCGCGGACATCGCCTGTATCGACCCTATGTATCAGTACTCCTTGCAATTTTTCGTCAATTTGGTTCGTCATGAGATCGAGAACACCGAGAAACCCACATTTTACGACGAGGAAAGCGAAGGGATGCTCCAGGAACATCTGGTGAAGGTAAAAGACCGATTGACGGAGACGACCTACAATCAGGTCTGCCGTGGGTTGTTCAACCGCGACAAGATTATCCTCTCCGTGCTGATCGTCACCTCGATTGCGCGGCAGAAAGGCGAGATTACCGATGCGGAATGGCAGTACTTCGTGCGCTCGACCGCGCTGATCCCTTCGAATCTGCCGGAGATCCCGGCCGAGCTGAAGTGGATGAATCGGCAGCAATGGGAACTCCTCCAGGCCCTCACCCTCACCGTCCCCGCCTACAAGGCGCTCGCGGAGAGTCTCTCGCGGCACGCCGCGGCATGGAAGGCGTTCGCGACGCACGACGAGATCCACACCGCCGGGATGCCCGATGGGTGGGGTGCGCGCCTGACGGCGTTCCAAAAAATCCTCCTCGTTCGAACCTTCCGCGAGGAGAAGCTCTACCTCGCGCTCTACCATTATGTGAGCACCTCCATGGGGGCGCGGTATGTGGAGACGCCGTTGTTCGATTTGGCGACCGTCCTGCAGGATAGCACGCCGGCGACGCCGATTATCTTCGTCTTATCCCAAGGTGCGGACCCCATGGGCGCCCTCCAGGCCTGCGTGAAGGCGGAAGGTCGGGAACTTCAGTACATCTCCCTCGGCCAAGGCCAAGGCGAGAACGCGAAGAAGCTCATCGCGAATTGCCGAACCACCGGGGCCTGGGCGTTGCTCCAGAATTGCCACCTTTCGAAAAGTTTTATGCCGGAATTAGAAAGCGAGGTCGCGAAGTTGCAGGCCGCGTCCTCGGAGACGCACCCGGACTTCCGCCTCTGGTTAACCTCCATGCCGACGGACTTTTTCCCGGTCTTTGTGCTTCAGACGAGCATCAAACTCACCAACGAACCCCCAACCGGGCTGCGGGCGAATATGATTCGCGCGCTTGGCGATCTCACCCCGAAGGATTTCACCCCTTTTGTCGCGGAAGAACACATCGGCGGGTATTCCAAGAACGAGGCCTTGAAGAAGCTTCTGTATGGGTTGTGTTTTTTCCACTCCGTCGTGCTGGAGCGGCGAAAGTTCGGCCCATTAGGGTGGAACGTCACCTATGAATGGAATGATACCGACCTGGACGTCTCCAAACAGTGGCTGAGGCTGTTTTTTGAGGCGCAGGAGGCGATCCCGTGGGATCCGCTGGAGTATATCATCGGGGAGATCAACTACGGCGGGCGCGTGACCGACCCTCAGGATCGTGGGCTCCTCCAGACGATTCTCCGTCGATGCATCAGCCCTGGTTTGCTGCAGGAAGGGTACACCTTCAGCGAGAGTGGACGCTACGTCGCCCCGGCGGAAGGGAGCACCTTTGAGGACCTCAAAACCCACATCCTTCAGCTGCCGCTCGTGGATGAACCCGAGGCCTTTGGGATGCACGAGAACGCGAACCTCCGTTATCAACTCCAGACCTCGCAATACCTCCTCTCCACCGTGGTTTCGATCCAACCTCGCCAGGTCGGCGCCGGGGGCGGATCCGTTTCCTCCGGCGGGGGAGCCATCCTCACCCCGGAGGAGGAGGTGCGCGCGAAATGCCAGGAACTCGCCGCGGGGCTCCCGCCGAATCTTCGCGTGGAGGAGGCCGGCCCCACTGCCTTCGTGACCCTCGAGGATGGGCTTCCCAATTCCCTCTCCACCGTCCTCGCGCACGAGGTGGGGATGTACAACCGGCTGCTCGATCGCATTCGACAAACCCTCGCGGATATGGAAAAGGCGTTGCAAGGCCTCACCGTGCTCTCCGTCGAGCTGGATGCGATGTATACGTCGGTCTTGAACGATCAGGTCCCTCAGCTTTGGGCCGCGGTCGCCTACGCCTCGTTGAAACCGTTAGGCGCGTGGTATCGCGACTTTTTACAACGCGTGAATTTCATCCGGACGTGGCTGCATCGAGGGGAGCCGAAGGCATTTTGGATCGGCGGGTTTTTCAACTGCAGCGCTTTTATCACCGGGATTAGTCAGGCCTTCGCGCGGGCGGAGAAGGTCTCCGTCGATAAGCTGGGGTTTCGATTTTATGTGGTGAATGGCGAGGTCGATCAGCTCGAGGAGGGGCCGGAGCGGGGTTGTTACGTGTATGGGGTGTACGCCGATGCGTGGCGGTGGGATCCGGTGGATCAGGTGATGTCGGACCCCTTGCCAGGCGAGCCGTACGCGATCCTGCCGGCTTTGCATTTTCTTCCCGAACCGTTTCATGAAAAACCGAATGAATCCCACGCGGTACCTTTGTATCGCACCACCGTGCGGGCAGGCATGATGTCGTCTCTCGGAGCCAGCTCCAACTACGTGTTGTCGATCGAATTTCCTTCCGATAAGTCTTCCGACTACTGGCTCCTAAAGGGAGCGGCGTGTGTGTGCGCACTTAATAATTGAATTAGATGTCTTTTTTATTATTATTTTCGAGTGTAGAGTGTGTGTATCAGGGGGGAGGGAGGGGGAGGGAAAGGGGGGGGGTGAGTGAGAAGGCTCCTTTTTGGCAACGTGGAGCATATCTTTTGTCTTTTATTTTTTCTGTTTCTGATGTACCCTGTAGTGTTTTTAGAACGATGCAACAAAATAACCCCCCCTATCTCCCTGTCAGAACATATCCGTATGATGATTATTATTTTTTCAAGGATATTCTCATGTATCAAGAGCCTATTGATTAAGCTGTTTAGAACAGTAATCCGGCTGGCTGTATTGTCTGTGATGTATACTAGCGCCCCTATAGCAATCAAACACGGATGCTGAATTGAATTACCACTGTAAAAGTTTTCACTTTTCCCAATTTTTAATACGTGCTGTGATGGATGGAATTTGCGCTTTCGTTTTATTTTTTTTCTTTCTTGTTTGGTGTTGTTCTTCGCGTTTTCTTTCCAAAGGCATAGCACTACGATCGATAATGGTTAAGTCTCACTACATTCGTGCTGGGCGCCTGGTGCGCATCCTCCGTGGACCTCGTCAAGACCGCATCGGCGTCATCGTCGACATCGTGGACGGCAATCGCGTGCTCGTCGAGAATCCCGAGGACAAGAAGGTCTGGCGTCATGTCCAGAACCTCCGCAACGTGGAGCCGCTCAAGTTCTGCGTGAATATCTCGCGCAACTGCAGCGGCAAGGCCCTGAAGGAAGCCTTGGCGTCGTCGAAGATTCTCGACCGCTACGCGAAGACCCGCACCGCCACGCGCGTGGAGGCGAAGAAGGCTCTGGCCGTCTCAACAGACTTCGAGCGCTATCAGCTCCGCGTCGCCCGCCGCTCTCGGGCTCACTGGGCTCGTAAGATCTTCGACGAGGCCGACGCGAAGGCGCCGGTGTCGTGGCATAAGATCGCCCTCCGGAAGATCCAGAAGAAGGCGGCGAAGATGGACGCCAACCCTGCCGCGAAGAAGCGCATGCAGAAGGCCATCGCCGCTCGCGCGAACAAGAAGTGAAGTGAACCTCACGCGTTGTCGTGCTTCACCACAGTTGTTTTTTGATAATATTATCATTTTTTAAAAAAGCAAAAAAAAAGTTAGAGAGAAAGTCATTGAGACTTTCGCGTCGTCTTTTCAAAAGTGTGTGCGCGATTTTATGTACACTCGCTTTATGCTCTCATAAGGTGCTCTTTGATTTTTTTTTTCTCTAGTTCGTGGAGACGGAGTAAGGAAACTAGAAAAAGGGAAACAATAATAATCTCCCCCCCCTCCCCCTCCCCCTCCCTGACTTACTTATCATGGTGGACGTATCAGACGATTCCACGCCTTTTGACCAACTGCTCCTTCAATGGATCTCAGAGGTTGAGACCCTTCCGCATCACTCCGTGAGGCGCATCCTACAAGAGGAATTAAGCGTGTTGGATACCGAAGAGGAGGAGAAGCCTGACGAGCTAAAGACTCGCAAGGGCGCTCTACAACACGCACTTGACGCATTATCGTTGAAACCCGATCCACAGAATCTACGCCACGCGGCTATATCGCTAACCACCACGATAGACCTTAGCACCTTGTATTCCTTGTTGGATACCAAGTGCACCCTGATTCTGATGTTCGAGACGCAACGGGATGTTTTTCACGGCATCGAGGACGTCATTGAGGAGCTTTGCGAGCAACAAGAATCCATTTTAGGCCTCCGTGCAGATTCATCTACCCGGAGCGATGCCGCGACCATTGTGGAAGGGATTTCCCCCGTGCAGGCGTGGGTGCGTCAACCCCAGCCGGGGATGGGAGTTCGTGGCTCCCGCTGGCAGGTCGGAACGCTTGTAACATACTTTCAAGATCGCGAGCGTACCTCACCGCTGTTTTCACTTCAAACGCTGGTCTCTTTTACGCCAGATGGACGCCATGTGGATGATATCGACCGTGTTTTACTACTACAGGATACATGTGTGGATATTATCCAGCCGACCGTTCACTTCGGTTCGTTCTTAGCAAAGAAAAAAACGCCCTAGAGAAGAGGAATTGCGCTGGACGCTACTTACACCGCCTGTGTAAGGTTGACTGTTTTTCTCTGTTTGTGTACTACATTTCTAATTGAATTTTAATTCCCTTTCATGGAAACTGTAACAACAGATGAGGAGTCTCTTTTGACATATGGTTCGTGTCTGTATATTGGTCTTCGTTTTTTTCACTTCTTTTACAAGGATATCTAGAGATAAAGGACTGGTAGATTTGTATCATTTCCCTCCCCCCCCGCTTTGTTCTATCCAAATGGCAACTGACGTCGAATCCCCCCCGGAGGTCAACGACGCGGTTACTTCGGTCGCCGGTGCGATCAGGAATGCCATCCCGATTAGGGTCGATCCGCCCTCTCACGCCAACGGACAGGCCGTTTCCTCCTCCTCCGTCGTCCTCACGAAGTACGCGAGCTACGACGAATTACGACGCGCACGTCTCCGAAAAGACCCGCATATCGCCTTACGACGCGAGCTGGAGGCGCTTCAGAAGGTCCCCAAACCGCGAGACGACTTCGCCGTGCTTTCGGATGCCATTATCGAGGGGATCCTGCGCTGTTACGAGGCCACCGCGCCGGCGGTCGTTCAGCTCGCCGCGACCTGCCATCGTCTGCGGCGGCTTTCTCTTTCGTTGGTCGTTTTAGAAGGGGTCTGCGTCGTGCCGGAGATGATCCCCTACGCCCGACTCGCCAGCCTCGATCGCGTCGTGCGGGGCTCGTTGATGCAGTATCTCGGCAACCCTGGCCGACGCGCGCGGATGCGGCGGTTGGGTTTGGTGAATCTCAAACAATTCCCCCCGTTGCTGACGAAATCGGCGCTTCCGTGGTTGAACCCGATCGCCGCCCTGCAGCTCGTCGCGCAGCTCCCGCATCTTTCCTTTTTGGATCTCCGTGGCGTCCGTTGGCGGCGGAGTGCCGAGACGAGCCTGGGGTTGCAGCATTTTTTGGAGGATTTGCACCTCGTCGCGCCGAGCTTGGCGGTGTTGAAGGTCGACGCGGAGTTGCTGGGGTCGTGGGCGGCCGGGTGGTGGCATTGGCATCCCCATTTGCACACCTTGGTGGTGGGTTCCCGCGCCGGGGAAGGGGCGCGGCAGGCCGCCCCCGCGATCACCCTCCCGGCGGATCTCTTCACGATGCTCGGCGGCCCCGACGGCGGATTGCCGCGGCGGTGGACCCTGAAGGTGTGGGATCCCTTAAGCGTGGAGTCGTTGAAGCAGCTTTTGATGCCGGATGAACCGCTCAGTCAGCTTCAGGTGCTTTTGGTGAACTTTCTGGGAAATTGCGCCTCGGTGGAGGGGAAGGAGCGCACCGCACGGGTCTTTTCGGACGCCATCCTCATCGATACGATGCAGTCCAAGACGTCTAAAACTAAACGGGCGACCTCACCAGGGATGGAGGCGGCCGATCCCGTGCTGTTTCCTAGTTTGGAGTCGATCACCATCGTGGAGGTGGAGGAGTATTCGTTAGTAGCGGTGGGGGTCTTTGCGAGGCTTTTGGTAACGGCACCAAACTTGGTGAATTTCAACATATGCAACCCAATCCGGGTGCCCTCGTCGAATGGAGCAAAGGATAAATCCAAGGAGTCACAAATTTGATACGAGGCAGACATCTTTCTGTACCTATAAGCGAAAGGTTTCTTTCCTCGTGGGTAAGCAACAATGTTCCATACCCCATCCACACACTCGTCATGCCGCAGATTATCGATGCTTTTCAAAGTAGCACGCGATACCCCTCCCCAATAATTTTTTAAAAATGGTGCGGGAACGAATCAACTAAACCCATGTGAACGAGGAATGTAGTGTACGATAAAGCTTTTGTGCAAGAAGGGAGTCCGCTGATCCAGAGATGGTTCTTCTTATATAAATATCAATGTATACTAAGTTGCAATGGATTTGCTACTTGAAAGGGTCAGTGAAAGGTCAAAGCGCGTAGCTGTTACACCACCCTTTGCACTTTTTCTCAAAAACAAAAAAAATTACTTTCTCAATGCATACAATAACTGACCTAGTAATTGAATGGGCGCTCACTGTAGTGGAGAGGACGAAGTATTCATCTCTTTCTCCGTCGAGGTTGTCATTTCATTTAACAAAGGGAAAATAGATACATTTTTTATTCTTTTGATTATTAGATAAAGCGTATAGGCACAGTTCCCTTTGTAAATAGAAATTAGATATACACAGGGGGGGGGGGGTAAGGGTATAGGCAACAAGACAGGATTAATTAATTTTCGCATAGTGTTCTTTTTTTTAGAGTTTTTTCTTTCGAGTATGGAAAGAGTTGAGGAAAGTGACGTTGTGGATTGCATTGAGTGCTGCGAATGCGCCGTTCCTGTCGGTACGGACGGCCCTCAGCGTGCTGCTCTGTTGCTTCCTTGTCAACACGTAATGCATTTGAGTTGCATTGAATTCGCAAAGCGTCGTATGAAGCTGCTGAAGCTGTACGAGGACGCCAAACCGAATAGTTTTCCACACGATATAGTTTGTCGGGGATGCCAGCAACCCGTGAACGGTGTGATTCCTTTATTCACAACGAGTGGAACGCTTTCACAACCCTCTGCGGACGAGGATGCCGCTAAAAGTGAGTTTGAACTCATTCACCATGCTCAAAAACAATATTTGAGGCGTCTCCAACGCATGCTTCGTCAGAAAGCCAACGTTACGCGATTAAGCCATCAGTGTGCGGCCTTGCACATCCAACGTACGGATTACTTGAGGGATGTCGATCAGCACAACCAGCTCTTTCCCAAGCTCAAACCGATGGATTTAAATTCCTCTGCGCAAGGATCGTTTGCCGCGCTCTCGTTTAACAACATGACCACCACGGAGCTCGAGCTTTATCTCATGCAAACGATGCCGGCGCTGAATGAAACACAAACCACCTTGCTGGAGAAGCGGCGGGTGGTGGAAAAGCACAGACAAACACTCCTCGCCCTGAAGGAAAAGTACCACGCGAGGAAAAAGGCTGTGCGGTTAGAACAAAAGAACCCCTCGACCTCGTTGGAGATTTCGCAGCCAAGTCACACCCCGCAGCCTGCCGCGTTTCAAGGGGATGGCGGGGAATCCACCGGGCGGGTGTTGAGCTCGCCAAACGACGCCGCGGTGCCCCTTTCCGCGCGTTCATCGCGAAAGCGATGCGGGGATGCGGTTTTTGTCGACGTGGATGAGGATGAGGAGTCGATTACGTCGAGGCGGGAGGGAGGCAGTATGAGGAGGTTGAACAATCCGGGAAGCCGCGATCGCCGGCAACGCCTTTCTCAACCGGACCTCGAGACGGTCGTGGTATCTTCTGGTGAGGAGGATGACGACGATGCAGATGTTGTGGAGTGTGGGGATAAAATTCCCACCGCGAGGGTCGCGAATAATCATCCGATGGAAGAGGTAGACTATGAAAAAGAAACCTCCTCCGCGATGCTCTTTCCGAGGTGGGTTGGCGGACGAGATACGGAGGCAAAAGTGCAAATGAGGCAGCTTCAGCTGCTCCCTCGTCGGGAAAATTATCTCTGGCAGTCCTCCCTTCCATTTTGAAGGCATGTAAAAAGATTATTTCTACCCGGTTGGAGGGCAATAATAAACTCGAGATTATCATTATTATTATTATTACTTATGCTTCGCTTTGGTCTGTTTTATTTTTTAACCTTTATTTTTCCAAATTACCATTACTATAACACGAATGATTTACAGTAATAATAATGTTGCTAGTATTTGTAAATTTTAGATTAATTTTTTCTTGCTGTTTTTTTTTCCAAATAGGCTTAAAGAGCAAGGTAAATGCTTGTTTTTGCAGTTTAGGCATATCATGGATTGTTTACAACTTCCAACGTTGCACCAAAAAAATAACAATTTGGTTAAAATAGCACCGATTGTCAGTTCTGATCTCATGCTAGCGCGCAAGGAATATGCCATGGCATCTTTGGATGCTGACACCATTCCACCACGGTCCAAACGCGCTGCCTCTAGAATACTACCGCTTCTTACTAGCGTATCATACGGTGAAGGGGCATTTTTACGACCTTATTCCCCCTCGGAATCCTTAAAAGGCCTCGAATACAAGCAGCGCGCGTTAGAGCAAGAGGAGGCAAGACATTTATTGTTTCGTCAGGAGCGCAAGCAGCGCGCTTTGCTTGTAATTTCCGAAGCCGATGAATACCAACCATTGAAGTTTTATCATGAAAGTAACCGTATCCGATTAGATCAAGAAAATGAAATTCTCTGTCAAGCTCGGGCGCGTGCGGCGGAAGAAGCTCATGAACAGCGTGTTTTTCACCACCAAGAGGTGGAGGAGTTGAAAAATGACGAACGGCAATCCCGCGCGCAGCTGGCGAGGGGGGAGTGGGAAAGTCGTAGCTTTATCACCTCGTTGCACGAGCTACGCCGTTTGGAGATCGAAACAGAAGGGTTAAAAACAAAAACGCAGAGTGCCGCGGCGATGCATTCCCGCGCGGTGGACGTCCGTGAGCGCGAGCTCGCCGTTTCTCAAATCTCCTATCGACCTCCCAAGCGGTTTCATCTCTTGCTCACCTCGGATCCTTTTCGCGCGGTGCGTCTTGTCGACGAAGCGGAGGAAGGTCGCTGGCGGATGCACCAACGTGAAACGCGTCTGGCGTTTTTCGAGGAGGAATTTAGGGCGAGGCAAGGGCTGTTCGTTCGATATCAGCTCCACTGGGCCGCGTTGGATTGCCTCAAAGGCGCTGCCCTGCTCGCCTTGCAGGTGGAGCCCCTCGCTCGCCAAACGTTGGAGGCGCTTTTCAATTTTGGGGGCTGTCAGGCCCGTTTGGCTGCGATCGTGCTCATTCAGCGATGGTGGCGTTTCGTGAAACGACGGTCGTGGTCGGAATGGCGTCGTGAGGCGCTGGCAGGCGACCTGGCGAGAATCCCTGAACCGCCACGATCGGGTTTCGCCACCCCATCGAGGAATCCACGAGTGGGGGACGATGGGGGGGTGGATTTAGATACCTTATCGAGGGCTGCCGAGCGGTATCGTTACGATATTATGATGGATTGGTATCTTTACACTTTAGGCGCGCGAGTGGCGTCCTTTCTCAAGATGCAGCAATACACGTTTAAAATGGCGAAGTCGCGTCGTTCTCGGGATGCCGCGGCGCATGGGATGGAAGGAGAGTTGTTGGAATCCGCCACGGAGGATTGCTTTCACGCGCTTTCGCAGAACACGTTGCTTGGACGTTGCCGAACACGTTTTCCACTTCCTTACGATTCGTGGCGGCGCACCCGATGGGTGGCGGGGTCGTTAGATAAATCAGCCCTATCTCACACCCAATCGGAGCTAGAAAAAGAGCAGATTGGCAGTCCTTGAGTTCGCGCTCGTTGGAAGGAGGAGGCAATCTCGTATGTGGAATGCATTTTTTCTTTGCTTGTAGATTTTAGTACATCAGATGGGGGAGGGAGGGAGGGGGATTAGACAGACCCCTATCCCCCATAGAAGAAGAGGAGCCCCTTCTTGTAGTCCTATCAACAACAGTTGAATGCATCCAGGTTCATGTTAATCTAGAAGGAACTCATGTAATCGTGTTTTTTGTATTTTTAGTTTTGTGTTTTCGTCCTTATCCGAATGGGGACTAGTAGAAAGTCCACAATTGGCATCGCATCCAAGTTTCGCATAGGGGCGTCTCTATTATTCAGCGAGGCTTGTTTTATGTAACATTACATCTACCACTCTTTAATTCAATCATGATTAGCCTGTGCTGTTGTAATATGTAGATATTATCAAAAGTGGCCCTTGTCTCTCTGTTTTTCTTTTTCTGGGCGGCTTAAGAGTTTCTTCCAAGTCTCGAGGCGAGCTTGGGGCATCCCCATTCTATCCCTCGGTGCTTTCTCGATGGAGCTCTACGCCCTTGGCCGTGTTGGTGATGCTTTTTTTTTCAACATTCTTTTCTTTCTATCGAGGTCGTGTGCACAAGTGCTGGGCCGGATCTTCTTTTATTACCATTACTTTATTATTTCACATTAGCCTTTATAGTTTTTTCTTTCCATACATAACCATATACCTAGACTATGAAAACAGAACAAACCATCCAGAAAGAATTTGATGGGGCCATTGGGATCGACCTCGGTACCACCTACTCCTGTGTGGCGGTTTTCCTGAATGATCAAGTTGAGGTCATTCCTAACGATCAAGGCAACCGGACGACGCCGTCGTGCGTAGCTTTCCACAACGACGAGGTTTTGGTCGGCGATGGCGCCAAAAACTTAGCCGCGAGAGGGGTTCCAGGGGTTATTTTCGACGCCAAGCGCCTCATCGGGCGTCGGTTTAGCGAAAAAGTTGTGCAGGAGGACCGCCCTCGGTGGCCGTTTGTCGTCTCCGAAGGGGAAGGCGACCGCCCGTTCATCAACGTCCAGTTTAAAGGGGAGGAGCTGCGTTTGGCGCCGGAGGAGATTTCCGCACGCGTCCTTAGCTATCTTAAAGCGTGCGCGGAAAGTTACCTTGGCAAGCAGGTGAAGAAGGCCGTGATCACGGTCCCCGCGTACTTCAACGACTCCCAGCGGCAGGCTACGAAGGACGCCGGTGCGATTGCTGGGCTTGAGGTGCTGCGCATCATTAACGAGCCGACGGCGGCGGCCTTATCCTACGGGATCGGCATCAACGCGGGCGGGAAACCCTCCCAGAGCGACGGGGAACCCCTCCACGTCGTCGTCTTCGACTTTGGCGGCGGCACCTTCGACGTGTCGGTGATCACGATCGACATGGGGAGCTTCGCGGTGCGGGCGACCGCCGGGGATACCCATCTCGGCGGGCAGGATATCGACTCCAACCTCCTCACCTTCGTCGCGCGCGATCTGGATCGGCGGTATGGCTTTCGTTTGGACGACCACCCCCGTCCCCGCGCCCGCGCCCGGGCGGCGTGTGAGCAGCTCAAAAAAACCCTTTCCCATCGGACCGCCGAGGAGTTGATCTTGGACGGCCTGCTTCCCGGTGGTGCGGATTACACCCTCGCCATGACTCGTGCGAAGTTCGAGGAGCTCAACGGCCGGGTCTTCGAGCGATGCCTGAAGGTGGTCGCGCGGGCCTTAACCGACGCCGGGCTCGCCCCGTCGGAGATTCGGGAGGTGATCCTCGTCGGGGGGAGCTCCCGTATCCCGGGGTTGCAGGCGCGACTTCGCGAGGTCTTTCGCGACCGTCCGCTTTGTCAATCGGTGCACCCGGACGAGGCGGTCGCCGTCGGGGCCGCCATCCAGGCGAGTCTGCTAAGCCGCACCCCCCTCCAACACTCGGCGCGGACCGCCGGGGTGGTGTTGATGGATGTCGTCCCCCTTTCCATCGGGGTCGAGGTCGACGATGGGCGGTTTGACGTCCTCATCCCACGCAACACCACGATCCCGTATCTCGCGACCAAGGAGTACAGCACCGTCGAGGACGGGCAAACCGCGGTGGATATTTTGGTGTTTGAAGGGGAACGCCCGCGGACGGCGGGGAATCACCCGTTGGGAGCGTTCGCGCTCGACGGCATCAGCCCTG